TACAGGTTCTCCAGGGTCTCACTCTACAGATCAGACTCGTAGTGATCCTCCTGTTTTCAGCCTCCCAGGTACTGGGATTCCAGGTGCACGCCACCACGCCCCGTCTCAATCTCCTTCTCAGTGCACCCCTAGGGAACCCAGTCCTGGAGCCTGCCTAAGCAAGTGCTTTAGTCTGCTGAGCTATCTGGCCAGCCCAGGGGCTCACGTCTGAACAGACACATAAATACTGCAATGCCCCATCGACTGCAGAGCCATCCGCAAGGCCTGTCAGAACACAGCTGACCCACAGCCTGTTTCTTATTCAGTGCGGGTGGCACTTAGCACTGTCAGGTACGAAACAGGATACCTAGATAAAGGTAAATTCCAGATGGACAAGTGTTTTTGGTCCATGTCCCAAATATTACAAACATACTAAAAAAGGGCAGTAAAAAAAATCTGATATTTTAAGGAAACCGGTTGGTGTATGGTGTACAAAGCTCAATACAACTGGTAGCAGATAAACCTGTAAGAGCAGGAAAGCTGGAGAGTACAGGTTTTTGCCTGTCAGGTAAAGCCTCTGGAAAACTGGGTGTGGAGTGGACACCTATAATTCCAGCACCTGGGTGGCTGAGGCAAGAGGACTGCTTCCAGTTCAAGGTCAGTTTAGGCCACCCAGTGAGGTCAGAGCCAGTCTGAGCTACAGAGCAAGACCCTGTCTCAAAAACTAAAAACAAAACAAGACACAACAAAAAGCCTTGGAGAACATGCTGAGATTATTCATCCATCACTATAAAGACTATTAACCAACACCATAAAGCCCTTTAATTTGCTAAGGAGCAAATTCTTAGCAAATTAAAGGGCTTGGGCAGAGCAGTTGCATTTAGAATGATCACTTCACTGATGATCAGAACCACTGTCTTTAAGGAGTATCTGAGATGGAACCCATTTTTAATTAATTCTGTACATAGAGAAGAGGAAAAAGAATAATACTCCATTACAAAATTTATTTAAAGTCACTAATAACTTGGAACTCACTAATAAAGACAAAACACTGAACAGACAGGATAACTTTTAAAGACATCAAAAATGAACAGACACAAAACTGTAGGTGGAGCTGGAGAGACAGCTCAGCAGCATAAGCACCTGCTTGGCAAGAACAAGGTCCTTGATTTTATCCCCAGTACCACAAAAGAAAAAAAAAAAAAGCAAACAAACAGAAAAACAAAACAAAACAAAACCCTGTAGTTGCTTAAAGTATATCATTTTGATAATTTATTCTTAAATCTAAATCTGACAATGCATACAAATTTAAAATAAGATTTAAAACAAGATATTGATGTAACACTGCTCATGTTAATGTAAAAAAAAAAATTTTTTAAGTAAAAAGTAAAAAAGTAGCTGCCTATCTAGTCCTAGCTTTGTATTTCAGGCTTTGTGTGTGTGTGTGCACGTGTGTGGTATTGGGGATTGAACTCTGAACCTTGTACTTGCCAGGCAGGCGCTTATGCTGCTAAGCTATATCCCCGGTCCTCTATTTCAGTTTTTAAACATGTCCATGGGTCTTTCTGCCATAAATAAAACCTATTATAATAAAGATTTGAGAATCTCATTCTGGGGGCTAGAAATCCTGCAAGCCCAGGCTACTCTACCTTTCCTTTTCTCAAATGTGAAGAAAGAACAGATGACCCACAAAGCACTCTCTGCTATCAACCAGTTGACAATCCGCACTAAAAATATGTCATCCAGAAGGCATCAAAGCCGCTAAAGTATTACTGGTTTCCCCAAGGTCACTTATCTAAGAGGCTGCACATCCTGAATCTGCCAGAAGGAGTATTCCTTACAGTGTTCCCCCAAGTATGTCTCACTAAGCCACCTACTTCATAGTACTTGTCTTGCAATGACACCTGTTTTCATAGTATAGAACCGAGGATGAATGAGTTTAGGGGCTGAAAAATTAATTTATTCAGACTTCATTTTCCCTTAAAATGGGGGAAGGGGGGCAGGAGAGAGAGAGAGAGAGAGAGAGAGAGAGAGAGAGAGAGAGAGAGAGAGAGAGAGAGAACACAAACAGTGGGCCAGTGGCCCAGGGGCAGGCAGCACTTAGGGACCTCCGGATGAAAGGAGCCACGTTGAATGGCCCCCAAGGGCAGGCTGGCCACGAAAAGCAGGCCAGACCGCCCTCTGCGCTCGACACGAGACCCCTGCAGGGCCGCGATTGAGGCCATCTGCTGCGATGAGAGCGCTCTGGAACTGGAAGTTCCCACAAAGGCCCTACCTGTAGTCGCAGAGCTTGGGCTGCGTGCCGCACTGCTGCCTGCAAAGCACACAGTAGCTGCACAGGGGCACGTTGCCGCGGATCCAGTGGTGGGGCATGGCGTCCAGGGCCCGGGTGTCGCTTTTGAGCATGATCTCTTTGCACTGGAAGCGCTTGTCGGCCTTCTTGAGGCAGCCCTCGTCCACGCGGAGCCCGCAGCAGTCGCAGAAGGCGCCCTGCAGGATGTGCTGCGCGCACACGCAGCAGTAGGTGGGCTGGCTGAACAGGTCCGTGTCGCGCCACCCGTGCTTGCTCTTGCGGAAGATGTCCCTGCGGTGCAGCTGCCGCCGCGACCGCTGGAGGCTGCACCAGAAGGTGATGAACACAGGCAGCAGCACGGAGCACAGCGTCCACAGGACCAGGTGCTCGTCCGCGAGCAGGCCCTGGGCAGGCGGGCCGGGCGCCGGCCGCCTCTCGCCGTCCATCTTCCGCAGGCCAGGTCCGCCTAGGAGAGCGAGCGGGGTCGGCGGCGCTCGGCTCGCTACGCTCGCCCCTGCGGCTCTCCGGTCGGCGCCCACGCGGCGCGTCGTCCCGCCCCCTCGCCCGCCGCCTACCTCGCCTGGCCCCGGGAGCGGCGTCACCGGACTCGCGGGCTCCTCGGCGACAAGGCTAGGCGTGCGGAGACGGCGTCCGCGAGAGCCGCCGCGGCCTCGCACTCCCTCCAGGCGCCCCGCGCTCCGGGCCCCTCTCGCCGGGCCTTCAGAGACCTGCGCCACAGCTCCGGCCGCTCCGGGGCCTACCTCCAGCCCACGCCTCGCGCCGCTGTCCGCCGCTCGCGCCGCCAACGTAGGGCGCGCGGGTGGCAAGGAGACCGCTTGCGCGGAGCGGGCAAGTCCGGCGCCCGGCGCGGAGTGGGCGGGGCCTGCTGCGGCGCGACCCGTTAACGGGCGGGACTGCGGCGGGAAGACCTGCTAGTGGGCGGGGCCCGCGGAGGGATCCCTGTTGTGATTGGGCGGAGCGAGAGATGGGCGGGACACATTACTGGGAGCCCCCTTGTGACTGGGCAGGGCCAAGGATGGGGCGGGGCTGAGACGCAAAGTGGGTGGGGAAAGTGGACAAAGGGTTTGAGGTCGTAGAAGAGGGTGGAGACTCTGGTAGGGGCGGGTCACTGTGGAACAGGAGCGTGATCCTGGGCAAAATGCGCGAATGGATCCCCGACCCTTAGAGGATGGGTGAATGGACGAGGGCTATAGATTCGTGATCAGAGGCCGCTCTAGTCTGAATAGTTTAAAGCTTAGCTCTGACTTTTAACCTCCCTCTGATGGATGAGGGAGCTGACATGATTTCCATGTTGGATTGGAGAAAACTAGCTGTTTCGAATGTTAAATGCTGGAGAGTGGGATGCCCCCCTCTAACTGCACTGGTTGAGCGCTGCCTGTGCGCCCACTGCGTAGCCGATCCCAGCGCTCAGGGTGTTGGACCTGCTCAACCACGCGCCAAAGAGGCACGGCTTCGCAACTTGTTCCCGACAGTTTACCGCACCCCAGCTACCATGCTAAATGCATCGCTCCCATTCTACAGATGTGGAAAACCAAGGTGCTGAGAGGTTGAGGCACAGGCTTCGTGTCACACAGCTAATGTCAGCTAACTTGTTAAAAACATTTTGTTTACCGAGCATTTTGGTGCAGGACTGCATTCCTGAGGCCGAGGCAAGAAGATGGCTGCAAGTTCAAGGATAGAGTGGGCTCTATAGCGAGACCTGTCACATAAGCAAAATAAGCCGAACTGAACCCAGCCCAACCCAACCCACACTGTTTAATTTAGTTTTCCAGGTCAGCTGTAGTCTACGTTAAACCAGCAAAAGCAGAGTTTCTCCTTTGTTATTTTTTCCGTGAGAGCCTGCCCTGGGGATCTTGCCAAAATGCAGATTCCGCTTTCCTCCCAGGGGTATCCAAGAGGCCAGAAGGAGGCTGATAAGGTAGAATTTGTCAGTCTCTGCCCTGAATCTCTCATCTGTGGCATGGAGACGAGGTTCTGCTTGGACAACCTGCGCCTGTGTGCAAGTTATCATCGGTACCTCTTATGCATCCCAGCTGCTACAGGTGGCTTGTGTTAGTTTAGGCTTGAAAAGGATATATATATA